CCAGACCTTGGACTTCTTATGCTTCGGCTGACGCGACCGAGCAACGTCTGAACATGTGACGCTGTTGGTGTGAGATCTCTCTGTGGAGATGGCATCAAGGGGCATGACATCTGCATGTTCGACATGAACTGGCTGGCTCTGAGTGTCCAGACCTGGCTGATAACCCTTTTTGCCGCCCTCATAGTGGCGCGTGTGGTTGAGTTGCTCCTCGATGGACGCATGCTGCGCGGAGAAGGCGTTGCCCGGGGGCGAAGGAGCGCGCGTTGACGGCGCGTATGAATTGGCGGCCGGGCGGAGCGCGAATGAAGGCTTCGCCCCGGGTGGAGGCGAGATAGACTGATCCCTTTCGCTGTTTCTGCGATTGCGGCCCTTTGTGTTCCTGGGAGTGCAGCCCGGCGTGGCGGTGTGGGACGACGTGTCTGAGACGATGCTGCCCTGATGCTGGTGCTGATGGTGGTAGACGCGATGCTGGGCTCCCAGGCCCAGGGGAACGAGGCCGCGGAGGTCAACCGCGGAAGCTCGTTTGAGGAGACCCACGGCGGGCGATGCAAACTCGCGAGCCTTGGGGTTGAGAGCACTTCCAGCGCTGACAACACGTCGAGGCGTCGACGAGGCTTCTCCACGGCTCGAACCCGGGGGCGTGTTGGGCTGGTTGGCCGAGCCGCGCAACTTGTCCCCAGCTTTGAGGGACTCGACGCTGGTCTGGCGAGACTTGGCCGAGTGCCACGACTCTGCGACGCTGCTTCCGTCTACGGTGGCCGGGGACGAAGCGACTGGAAGCTCCATTGACGAGTCGGGCACATGAATCTTGAGAGCCTCAGGCTTTTCTGAACCACCGGCATCATGAGCTGAATCAACAGCCTCCTGGTGTGCCTGGTTATCAGAAGAACAATCGGCATCGACAGAAGTGATAGTGATATCAGGATGGCCAGTAGTATCATGTTGGCGAAATTTCTTGTCGTTGTCGTCCTGAGGTCGCTTGGACGACGACTGAGACGTAGAGCCCCCTTTACTCATCCTCTTGACCGGCGAAAGGAGGTGCTTGTCAGGGTGATGTCCGATGCGCTCAGGCGAGGTGGCTGAGATGAGCTTGGTGTTGCCAGCAGAGTCGACGCCAGGTTGCTGAGTGGTACCGGTTCTAAGCATGTCTCCACCAGCGATCTTCTTCTTCCTCTTCGAGAGTTTCTTCTTGCTGGACTTTTCATTGGGTACTACAGAAGACTTAGAGAAGTTGCGCGGTATGCTCGAAGACCTCTCTTGCTGTCTACCAACATGATGTTGACTGCAGCTGCTGGCGATTATGGGTTCCTCGCCTTCGCCCGCATCGGAGATTTCACTCTGACGCCATCGGCGGCCAGAGGGTTCAGGAGTAACTGTCGTCAACGGCTTTGGCTTTCCGCTTTCATCAGAGGTCGTTTCCAAGGGCACGACATGGGCCCCCGGCGGGTGAACAGAAGTGGTGACGAAGGGATCGTCTGCCCGTGCAACCGGGGCCCTCTCACTGGAACGAGAGGAATTGACCTGGGTAGGAGTCTGCGCGGCAGATGACCCTACAGAACCCTGGTCAAACATCTTGGCAGGAGAAGGCTGGTTGCTGCTAATCTTCAACATAGATGCATAGGTAGTCAGGACGGCAACTTCATCCGTGGCGGCCTTGGGCGTCCCAACAATAGCGTTGCCAATGTCGTTATTCGCATCGTTGCTAGCAAAGGATTTGGCCTTCTGGGTGGCTTCGCGGCGATCAGCATTCATCTTCTTCGGCGTGGCATTCTCTGACGACTGTTCTGGGCTCCGAGGCAAGCAAACCGTGCATGCCTTGCTTAGAGTTCTGACCGTATCAGTGGCAACATCAACATGCTCGCCTTTAAGCTTGATTTCGGGGAGATTGCCGCCTCCATACGGCTCAGGACGACGTTGTGCCATGTTCGTCGAAGCAATGCTTACAGCTCCCTTCTCAGTGCCCTGGCTGGCGCGAGCACCAGACTCAGGAACGGCGGCCAGATCCTTCGGAGAAACGATGGCGTGCATGTGAGGATAAGGCGGCATTGAAACTCCGGGCGCCTGCGCATGATACCATGGATGGTATTGTTGAGCAGGAGACTGGGCAATAGTCCCGACGGGGAGGACAGAACCCGTGGGCGCTATAGCATTCGCGCCGGTGGCGGCTTGCGGAGGGAAGAAGTTACCGTTGTTTCCAATGCCAGGCGTGAAGTAGTTGGGAGGCAAAGCAAGCTGATGCATCATGACAGCATTCGCCGCTGAGGGCGTACTGCCCGAGGCACAGCGGGGCGAACCTTGAGAAGTGACCGTAGCAGTGGACATCAGCCGGGGACGCTGCCCCCCGTAGACGGCATTCCGCTGCGTGAATGAGTTACGACGGCTGTTGCCGCCGTGGAGCAGCTGAGAGCCGTTCAACCGAGCCCATTCAGCACCGTAGTCTGACCGATAAGGAGCACTCGTGACGATGTTACAGGATAGCTCGCGGCAGACAATGTTGGGCGCGTTAGCCGCTTCCATGATGCGAGCTGCGGATTTAAACCTGTCAGGCATGCCAGTGTCAGCAATAATTATCTTCGCAAGGTTCCACGACGCCGAGGTGCTTACCGGGCTGTGAAGGCCAAGGCGAATCCGACAGCCTTCCTATATGGTATGATATACTCAACATCTCCGAAGCGAGCCATCTCGCGATGGATGGTTTCCCTGATTGCTGCATCAGGAATGGAGGTTTGCAGCTGGGGCTTGAACGATATGTGCACGGAACGGTTGCGAGTCTCGCAAAAGGAACAGCTGCAGGGGACATAGTCCCAGCACGTGTCGCTTGGGCCGGCATTGAGGCATGAAGTTTCATTTGAAGGCACCTTGGACCAGGCACGCGGACGTCCTTGGCCCTGTGCATGACCATTGTGCTTTTGAGGGCTGCGACGGTGAGTCGGACCATGGAGATCGTGGTTTCCATCCTGGATCCATCCACCGTGAAGGTTTGGCCGCTATGAGAACCACGAGAGTCGTTGTTCCGGAAGTTGCATGGATTGTTGTTGGACTGCACAGGGGTGTCCGTGTAAGCCCTGTAAGAAGACGTGATCGTTGTGTTAGTGTTCGA